ACATTGATGCGAGATCAGCTCTCCGACTGAGCGCATCAGCAACATGATTGGTCTTCCCACTTCGGTACTCCAGGTTGAAGTGGAATTCAGCTAGGAGTTCCTGCCACCTAGCCTGCCGACCATTCAGCTTTGGCTAGGTCATAAAATGGCTAATAGCTGTGTTGTCTATCTTGACCACGAACGGGGACCCCAGCAGATAGTGCCTCTAAAGGCATAAGCAATGGACGACGGCCAATAATTCTTTCTTATGGGCGGCATAGCACTGCTCTGCACCCTTCAGCTTCCAACTCTCATATGCTACAGGATGTGCTTCTTGCAGCAAGACTCCACCGAGGGCATAGTCGAATGCATCCATTTGTACCTCGAATGGCTTGGCCAAATTAGAGAGGGCAAAGACGGGGCTACTAGACATAGCCGCTTTCAATGTGTTGAAGGCCTCCGCTCGCCTGGGTCCCCAATACCAGGGGGTGACCTTCTTGAGGAGTTTTGTCAATGACATTGCGATGAGGTAGTAGTTTTTCACAAATCGCTGATAGAAGTTGCATAGGCCAAGGAACGTTCTCAAGGAGTGGATATCCTTAGGCGGTGGACAATCTGTGATAGCTTGAATCTTTTGTTGGTCCATCTTGATCCGCCCTTCCTCGATGACATGTCCGAGGAAGTAAATCTTCTTTTGAGCAAAGGAGCACTTGGATAGCTTCGCATATAGTTCGTGCTCCCGCAATCGGTCTAGGACCTTCCGCAAGTGCTCCAGGTGTTCTTCCAGTGTATGACTATATACCACAATGTCATCCAAGTATACCACCATGAATTTGTCGATGTACTCTCGGAAGACTTGGTTCATCAGGGTGCAAAATGTGGCTAGGGCGTTAGTTAAGTCGAACAGTATAACAAGGAATTCATATGACCCGTATCTTATCACATAGGTCGTCTTGTGTTCATCACCCTCTACAATCCGAACTTTCCAATAACATGTCTTTAGATCTATCTTGGTGAACACCATCACACCACCCAGTCTATCGAACAAGTCTGCCATTAGCGAAATAGGGTACTTGTTCTTCACAGTAATTTTGTTTAGAGCCCGATAATCCACATAGAGTCGCAGGCTGCCATCATGTTTCTTTTGGAATAGCATAGAGGACTCGTATGGGGACTTGGAGGGAACAATAATCCATGTGTCTAGCATTTCCGTCAATTGTCTCTGAAGCTCAGTGAGTTCGGGTTGTGATTCTGTAAGGCGCCCGGGCAGGTGGCTTCGCGCCCGGCACCAACTCAATCTCATGGTACACAGAGCGCCTAGGCGGGAGTCAATTTGGCATGTCCTATGGCATGACATTTTCAAACTCCAGTAGCAGCTCCTTCATGGGTGCAGGAATGGGACCCGATGAGCGTTTTATATCTTCAATGCAAAGGGTTGCCAGGAATGTAGGTTCATGTCTTTTAACCCTTTTCTTCAACTGCAAGGCCGAGATGTTCTCAGCGGACATCTTCATAGGCATGTACGGGATAATGCAGGGTTTGGCCCCGTTTGCTCCCATCATTAGTAACATGTCAGCATACGGTACGGGCATGGTGTTGGTTTGCCTCAGGAATTCCAATCCAACTATCAACTCGAAGTCATCTATGATCACCATGCGCATGTTGAATTTTCCTTCATAAGGGTCAAGCTTCACTGGTACCTCTTTGGCGGATACCACCCACTGGCTGAGGAGGTGAGTTGATATCCTTGACACTACCTCTTCCCTTTCCTACAACTAGACCAAGGCGTTCCACCTGAGTCGAGGCTAAGTAGTTGTGGGTAGCACTCGTGTTTATCATCGCCTGAATGGGCTTGCCATTTACCTTAATCCCGACAAACTTTAAGGTCCTCTTTTGTTTAGAAGAAGTCCTCTCATCCGCCTTATTTTTCCCTTTCTTGGTGCTTGGATAGTTTCTTCTTACGGGTACCAGCACCGATTCTCGCTAAGGCCTCAGAAATAGAGCCAACAGCTACATTGAAAGCACCTATTGGTTCGGTCTGGTCCGCATCGTCTGTGTCGTCATCCGTCCCATCATCAAAAACTTGATGGGTGTTCATCTATGCATGTGGACATTCATTATACCAATGTGGTCCACCGCAATGACGACATCCTGAAGGGGGCTTTCTCCCCTGATCATTGTTGTTTGGCGCAGCACTATTGCTACCTGAGGAAGGAGACTTAGATTTGGTTGCACTCCGATCTCCCCCACTTCTACTAGGGCCACCATTGCTAGGCTGGCCTCCTTTGTATCCCGCTCGGGAAGGCGGTTGAGGCATATCCTTTTGAGCTTCCACTTGATAGTCCCCAATGCATTCAGCTGCTTGGATCGCCTTGGGTAGGGTATCTACCCTTGGTCTTTGCAGCTCTATACGAGCATAAAGTTTCAACCCTTCTAAGAAGGTGAAGATTTTGTCTTTGTCCCCCATGTTGCGTATGTTTATCATGAGCGCGAAGAATTACCGCACGTAGTCCCACACTAATTTGGTTTGACGAAGCTCTTGTAGCTTTCTCCTTGCATTATTTTCAACATTTTTGGGGAAGAACTATAGGCATACGGATACCTTCAGTTCTGTCCATGTCTCGAGAGCATCTTCCCCGGCCCTGATGGCTTCGTACTTCACCCGCCACCAGAGTTTTGCATCACCTTGAAGATACATGGCAGCAGTTGCTACCTTCTTAGCTTCTTCTAGGCCCCAAACGGCATCGAAGAACTGTTCGATGTCAAAGATGAAGTTTTCCACTTCTTTGGCATTCCTAGCTCCACTATATGGCTTTGGCTCAGGAATTATTAGTTTTTGTGTCGCGGGGGCGAGGTTCACAGCACCCCTGATTTGGTTTCCGCCTCCTCGAAGCAGGCCTTGTAAAACAGCATTGACAACATTGAGCTGGCCTGACAAGTTGTCTTTAGTTTGTTGCATGACAGTCACCCTGTCTACCTCTTGTGACATGTAGGCTAAATCCTCGGCACGCTCCTATTGGAGGCCTTTGAATTTGCCAAAAAATTCGGCTACCTCTGTGGCTGCCGTTTCCCTGTCTCCCTCAGAGTTGCGACTGATGTTTTATGTCAACTTCAGCTTAGAGCATTCTGCGGTCCAGGTCATCCAACCTTTGCACTAGGCTGGTTCTTATTTCAGGCACCGTATTCATGATGGGTCGTAATACGTCAATCGTCTCTTCGAGGGCTGCAATGTGGTCCCCATGATTCACCATGGTCAGAAATGGTGGTAATGGCGATATGTTCTCTCGTCCGATGTCGAGCCTAGGCTCTGATACCAATTGTTACGCGACGCCTTCCTGAGATTCCTTGGAAGGGTGACGTAAGGCTAAGCAACTAATGTCAGTGCAGTTACTATACGCCAACTGAGGTCTCCTCCGTACGCTAGACGAGATTGTCAGTGTCGTACGGGAAAACCAATGTCAAGAGCAATTGAGAGAACAGAAATGAGAATTGAGAATGAAAGAAATCTTGATTGCATTAATGAAAGCTATTATAGAAAAGCAACACGGTGTCGAGGGGGAGAGACACCAGTACAGGGAATTGTTTGCTTGCTAGAAAGTTTGATTGTTTGATCCCCCCTAATAGTGCTTAAAAAAATAAAACAAAGTTACAAGACTAGACCTAACTAAACTAGAGAAACATAATGGAAGTGCATGAAATAAAACTACTCTATATTTACAATGAAAAGGACTTAGTTTTCTACAAGGTAGAAACAGGTCCGTTGTCAGCAACCTTGTCTTTGGCATTACGGTCTGCGCACGGCGCAGTTAGTATCTGCCTGCGGCTGGGCGCTGGCGAGGGATATCGGTGGGGCGACAGAGACACATGCACGCTTGTCACTTGGCGCAGCCAAGACCATGGGGTCGTTCGTGGCGCTAGGCGTTGGGAGGCTTGCTAGGACGCCACTGGACGCACCTAAGGGGTCATGGGGCATGGCTGGAAAGTCGCCCATGACAGTACTTATGCATTTTTCCTTTATTTATGAGTCCTTTTCTTTTTGCTACTCTTCTATATTCTCATTTTTGACTTCCTTATTAGTTGCATAGATTATTTCTTCTTCAAAAAATTAGCTCTTCTTCTCCAATAGATACTTATTAAATAAAAAGGTTTCTCCTCTAATAGTAGTCCCTGTATAATCAATAATATTTTCTTTAATAAATATAGTAATTGATTGGTGCATATATATATATATACTCTCTTCTTTTTTTTTGATTTATTAGTTGAATTCTTTTAGGCCCTTGGTAAATATGTGTTTTGCTACATTAAAAATATACGCATTATTCTGTATAGAAGAAACCTCTTTTTCTTAATGTATATAAAAAAAAGTCGCTGGACAAATATAAATGAAGAGCTACAATTTTAAGAAGAAAACTTAGATGCAATGAATGAGATTTCAACTGGAAACCGAGAATGTGAAAAAATTTAGGTCTGTCAAATATAAAGCAGATTCAGTAAATTGCATTTGCATACAATTTATAAATCTAATTATATCTGACTTATTGCATGTATGTAACGACTTTCATCTATTCTTTCCGTTATACTTTAGCCTTAAGTCGCATTCTCTTAGTATGTTTTGCTTATTTATATTATTCTCTTAAAAACAACATACAACTAAAATTGTTGAGCCAAAAATTGCATATTTTTGAAAAGAAAAAAAAATCCACTTTTTTCGTCCCATTTGTATGTGATTAGTGTTTGACTAGAAAGGGAGTTTTAAAGAATTAAAAAGACTTTTGGCAGGTACATTAACTATATTAAAAGCATCAAATTGTCATTTTAAAGGAGTAACGCGGTAAGAGTTTCATACATATTTCTTGTTTTCTTTCTCCTGAAAAAAGAATGAACTTTTATATTAAGTGAATCTCAACAAGTCATGTTGTTAATAAGATGAGAATGCAACAAATAAAAAATTTCCAAAAGAGAAAGTTTTCCATTTAAAAACTGACTATAAAGTAAAGTTCACGAAATACAAAACAAAGACACAGCTCTGTAAGCAGAAGTCTGAATAACCTCAAAAGCGTTTACAAATTACAAAGTTATCGAAGTTAAGTTGAAAGATACAACATGTATTATACATACATGACACAGTGATTAAAATTATAAAGAGAAGAGACTCCACTCCTTTGTGCTGTCTCAAATTGTAAAACAATGACTTCTTAGCAATTCAACATTGAGACAGTGGATAACTTCGCCCGAAAGCAGAAGGGTTGATATCAAAATGGGGGAAGAGTCATTCAACAAGTTATTTGAAAAGGTTCCTAAGTCCATCAAATAAGTTGAGAGCTTTCAGTTCGCCGCTCCTAATATCCCTCAATCTTCTCCTCAGTATCTGGTACCATGTCAAAAACATTTTGAATTAAGGTTAATGGTTGAAAACATCGATTAATTGAAGGAAATCAAGAAGATCGATCAATTTCACAAAGTTTCATTTTCTTTTCTTCATTTAACTGTAAACACAAACATATGTTGCAAGTCATATATCTATCCCATTACGTTTGGTCAGGAGAAAAAGAAAAAAAAAAGGGCAGTTCGGTGCACTAATCTCCCGCTATGCGCGGGGTCCGGGGAAGGGCCGGACCACAAGAGTCTATTGTACGCAGCCTTATCCTGCATTTATGCAAGAGGCTGTTCCCACGGCTCGAACCCGTGACCTCCTGGTCACATGCCAACAACTTTACGGGTTACGCCAAGGCTCCCCTTCTACATTTGGTCAGGAGATTGTCATGAAATTCTTAGGCCAATGTGGACTTGTAATATAAGTATAACATGGAGCACGGGGAATGGTAGTTTAATTAACTAAGTACATATTTTGGATAGAGTTGCTGGAATGTGAAACAGTCTGTACTTACATATTGGCTACGGAAGAGTATCCTCCGCTCACTTGTGCAGAGATCAACTGCTAGCTGTTTCAGAAACACTCTTCTGTTTAGCTGCTTTGGATTCGTTACGTCGAGATCCATTTCTCCACTTGCCTGTTAGAAGATATGATAGTTATTGAGCATGGGTAAATGCAATGGAACATATTTGTACATGCATGCAAAGTTGCAGACCTACAAATTTATACTTCTCTAAATCATCGCTAGAACCCATGTTAGTGTGATCAGTGGGAAGACTCCTGTATACAAGCCATATGTCAATAAGTATAATACCTATATGAAAATATGGTCCTTTAAAAATGATAGAAGAATTAACCTAAGCAGTTGTCTCCACCCAACCGCTTAAACTAAAAATAGCCGGTGGATGTATAATATATTATACAATTCATATGTACTATGTGTATAACCGTGTATAATCAGTATATTATCTTGGCCGACTATTTGTGCAAAGATCCCAAGATGATACCTAATCTTCTATACGTACAAGAACTTCATAGGTGCACCAAAAGCTAATTAAAAATAAAAGGTTATTCCTCAAATACACAAAATCACTTTTGATCCCGTTACAAGCTCTCCCATTTCTCTCTTTCCACGGGGCCCACATGCCGGCTAGGGAAGCAACATCCCATGCGCTCGGCACCCATGTAGTGTGATTATAGAGCTGTATTACTTAGGGAAGTAATTTACTACCTGAAGGAACTTGGAATACTTTGATATGCTGGATTCACAACTATCCAGAATAAATTGCAATGCTTCTTCTTCTATCTCCGGGTACTTCATATCCTTCTTTGATGTTGACTTATTCGATGCTGCAGCAGCCATCTGGAATAAACTAAGTTTTAGATTATTATTTTTCCAATCCAAAAATGTAGTCCACCTCGCAAAAATTGAGATTTATCTTACCTCTCCAAACTGTCTGCTCATGCTAGGTGGACTGACTACTAGATAAGCAAACGCCATCAATTCCAATGGCCAACCAGTGACTTGTATAGGAAAGCATTCCGACCTGTTCAAGGTACATGAGAATTTAAAAGTTAGTGTTTTTAAACATAAACAACAAAAGGACACCAATTTCTAGGAAACCTAGGATTTTTCTGATAGCAAGGAACCACAGCCAGAAGGTTTCTACATTTTGTCAGAACTGATTCAAATTAGAGAAATAAAATATCTGAAAATATTTAGCTCACAGTATTATGGACCAGTCTATATAAACGAAGCACTCACGCTGATAACCCATGCTTCTTCAGAGCCTCCACCTTCTCCTTGTAACATTTATCAGATTTCTTAAGTGAAAATGACAACTCAACTGAATCACTAGGATTGGTGCCTTCTCTAGGAACAAATCCATATGAAAGCAAAAGCTCTCCATTAGATTTCCTTCCATATGATATAAAAACCTGTACAATCGCAAGCTTACAAGTTACTTACACAAGGCATTGTCTAATATGAAAACTCAAAACGTCAAGTGGTTCTACGGGGATGCGTGCATCATGAAAGTAATTACATTAAGATAAAAGATTTTATGTTGAATACTTGCTAGGCTTATAAATATAAACAATAAATAAGGGTGAATTCTGTTCAGCAAGGAGGTTAATAAGAATATGTTAGTCTGTGGCCCCTTTCTAAGCCACAGTGCAGTAATTTTCTAATTTGAGTTAACTATTAATATTCAAGATGGGGGATCCAGTTGTTTTGACGATACAATAATTTAGCTAATCGCTTTTAAAAAATCAGAATATTGTATACCTGCTCACCTGGCTGATATGCCCTGTCCGTTGTAAAGACAATTCCTTGCGATGATTTATCATAGTCAAGAAAAGTTTCCACCTTGTACAATTAAAACAGCTGAAAGAATCAGACTCAGAATTATGCCATATATGTCAAGTTCAAACATTTTCACAAAAGTGCTATTCACAACCTCACAATTATGATTCAGCATATCTGCCCAAGGAACCAAGGCAACTCTTCCATCCATAGAGGGTAATCTGACCTGTGAATGCATAACCAATTTAGAAAGCATATCAAAGTTTCCCATGAAGTAGATATTTAGCATCGAGTAAAAGAGCGATTACAAAATCTCTTTTTCTTTTTTAGTATATCATTTCACTGAAGACACCACAGCTTGATTTCTGCATTCAACTTCTACCAGTTTTCACATCCAAATTGTTTACTTGTTCCCCCTTTTGTGAGTCTAAACATGAATGACAGTAGAAATCACAGTAGAAATAAATTTTGTGAGCCCTTTCTTTTGTAACCTATGCATCCTCTGAATGCTTCTTGTTAATGACTTGCCACTTATTTCATAAACAAAAAAAATTTGTGTTCCCATGTATGAAACTCACCAAACGTGAGAAGAGAATTCCAAATGACCAGTTGAAAGTCTCTATGTTGAATATCTGCAATAACATGCAGCAGAAATTTGAACACGCTCAGGACACACATTAAAAGAAAAATAGCAGTAGGCAGAAAAAAGTATCCCCTTTCTAGTTAATTGTAAAAGAATAATGCATCTCTAGACTTCCCCTGAAGACCATAATTCATTGCTGGGCACTTTCTTTTCAGGACATGTTCAATAAGTTATATCAAAAAGGTTGATCCTGGTTAATAGAAGAACAAGTCCAATGATCTATATTAATGTACTTGTCATTTGTAAGACTCTTGTCTAAGGCTGCAATATGTAGATGGATCTATAGTGAAACAAGTGGTTCATTCAAAAGAAACTTCGCTTTTGATTGCTCCACTTGGTCATGACGCAGAATCATCATTACCTCAGGACTATACGGTCTTATAATTTGAAGTCAAAATTGACTATGTTACATTGATAAATTAAAATGGCCTCTAGGAAATGTAGCAGCTCCATCATATCTTCTCACTTCACATAGGCAACCATTTCCTCCCAAGAATCTTTACCACATCATCAAGAAACAATATAATGACAAACAGATAACATTTAGCTGGCCTCAAATATTAGCAAGTCATTAAGATTGTGTACCTCTTCAGGAAATAAATCAGGATGTTTGGAAAATATTCTGAGTTTTAAATCATTGTACCTGCAGTCGAGATGATGAAGCAAACACTAGTCAGCAAGCACAACAATAAAAAATAAATGAATTATAAAACATTTCTTTTCTTTATTCCTTGAAAAATTCAGCTTTAATCCTAGAGATATCCGACTAAGCACGTTTAACTTTCAATTAATTCAAATGTGCACTTCTGGTCCCCCCCCCCCCCAGCAACAGATTCTTGCAAATGCAATGAATACTTAACTATTAGACAATGCGACTGTAACGTAATATGCTAAATGAGTGGCATTTTCGGTACTTTTTCTTTGTACTATGATGACAGAAGTTTTTCGACATGTTATTTATTCTTCTGATATCAATTTTTTATTTTCCTCTTCATTAAAATAGCCCACCCTCACCGTGACATGTAATAGCTAGATGCTGTAATAGTTAACTCCATGCGATTTTGCAGGAATCAGTAGTGGAGTGTCCAATGAATCAGTACAATTAATTAGGGTAAAGTGTGCTTAGTCAGGTGTAACGAGAACCCAAGATAATAATTGAGTGATCAAAGTAGTAGATTTTTTCCGAATAAAAGTAAGGAAAAAATTAGCTTCAAATGATAAATTCTGAGAAATTAAGGAAAGAAGCCTTACGTTCCAGTGACGTTATTTATCCTTTCAATTGCCCGTTCTCTTATTTGTGATGCTTCCAAATACCTGTCTAGCTCAGAACGAGTCCTGAAATGACATGGAAAAGCTGTAGGGGAACTTATTGAGCATGTACCCTTTTACGTAGTAAAGGAAGAATGCTCAGGTCTTGACAAGTTTTGGTAGACACCAAAACTAATAAGAGGCTTACCAGTACAAGAGAGAGTAAGGCTGTCTAGGCAAGGCAGAAATATAGTTACTCCATCTTGAAGATTTCATGAGGCTTGCCTCGCTTATTAAATATGTAGCAAGAAAAGGCCAATCTGGAACATTGTATTGTTTTAACACAGCACCAGCCTCAGGGTTGCTCCATTTCTGGCATCACCAGCACATAGCAAGACGGAAAAAGAAAAAAAAAAAGCCTCTGTTGGTACCAGAATTCATAATATTTTAAATCCAAAAAGTACTTAGATTCAAATAATGGTAACTGTATCTGTTGTATTCTAGATACTTTCGTTATGCCCCTCCCATCTGATTTGCTTGAATTAGGAAGGGCTCGTGTCTTAAATCTCACAGCATTGAACATGTGAAACCTGAACCGGTGATCACAGGTTGCTATTTGCCATAGTGATTAACATTAACCATCTTTTAAACACATGGAAGACCATTTCCCCTTTCCTCATTTTTCCCCTTTAGTAAACCAACTAATCCACAACTAGACAAGGAGAAACAAAACACTTCAGTATGCTGTAGAATCTATACTTACACATGTATAGCATGGCATTTAAACCAGTAACTAATTAAAAGCTTTAAGGATACCTAATTCTTCCATTATCTCTACTGATATACAAATATATAAGTAACACTTGAGATCCATTTGTAGCCATTCTGCCTCCAAGCTGCACTAATGACTAGTATGATTCTAAGAATAAGAACAATGGTAAACATTCCAGTGCTATTTCAAGTATGAGGTATGAGAAATATCTGTTTAGAAAAGAATCAACTTTACTACTTAAGAAATGCAATGCAGATGTGTGGCTAGTACAATTGTTTGGACGAAAGGAAATTCAGAGGAAAAGAAAGATGTCATCTTGTTATTGCACTCCTTCTACCTGGAGAGGGCTATTTTTGTGTTTGTATGCGAGCCTACATATGTACATATATGTTGGTATTCGTACTAACTTGCTCATATTCGCCTAATCCATTGGAAGCTACTACAACCCCAACAAGTACATGAGAAGGGTAAATCTGTCCATAAACCAAATTTTGTAGCTGGGATTCAAACGTGAGATCTCAAGGTTGTTACCCTATGCCATCAACAACTCAACCATCCCCTAGTGGTTGAGGGATATAAATTATATATGACAGAATTTGCCAACTGAGGCAGACAATCGCGGCAATATTGATGTATTAGCAACTGACAATCATGGGAAGTCAAGGTTTACACTTTATTTCCATGTCCTAAAAGTCCAACTAAGCTAACCTAGCATGAGATACACTGCAATGTCAAGAAGTTAGAGCTGAAGTGCATCAACATCCAATTTCTAGTCCGATTGACCTTCACCTTAATGACTTCTATACCAGAAAGGTAATGAAATATTAGTTTCATGTTCAAATTTGTTCCACATCCTGTCTTATTNAAGGTAATGAAATATTAGTTTCATGTTCACATTTGTTCCACATCCTGTCTTATTAAACCGTAAGTCCTTCAGAATCTCTGCGATCTGGAACATGTAATAGTAATACAAGTAGAGTACTTTATATGTCAGGGAAAATTACCCATTTAGCCTGTAAACATGATTCTACTTCTGTTCATTGAAATTAGTTCTTACAGAGGATCATTTCTAAATTAAGACTGTTACACTTCAATGTTACAATCTCAAGTTTTTTGCCTCAGTTGGTTACTCAGGCACCCAGACAGCAATTAGGATTTGTTAATGAGCAGTTATGTTCGTTGCAGGGATACACAACAACTTAATTAACATCTGATTTACAAATTAAAATTTCCCTCTTAAGCCCCCGGTCTTTCGTGTAATAGTAAGAGCAATACGTGATGTGTGGATTAGGTGCACCTCATGAGGCTATCTAAGTGGAGAAAGGTAGAGGGCCGGGTCCATTATCCACCGAGTTCAATTATAGCCACGCTAATTTACTTCAGGCCAAGTTCAAATATCAAACAAAAGACTACTCCTTTTGTTTCAATTTATATGACACACTTTCCTTATTAATCCGTTACCAAAAAAATGACACCTTTCTATATTTGAAAACAGATTAACTTTAAACTTTTCATTTTATCATTTTTACCCTTAATGTTCATTAAGCTTTTACAATCACACAAATTTTATGACTCTACAAAGCTTTTAAAACCACATTTTCAAAAGTCCTAGTACTTTTTTTCTCAATAATTTTACCCCACATAAATTGAAATGGAGGGAGTAATAATTTTACCGAGTCAGCAGTGATGACAAGTGAGGGAGGAACAAAGAGCAACTTTTCCCCTTTCCTAATATTTTTTAGAGCAACAAGGCCTCTTTCTCCAACATCCACTCTTTGTATGCCCATTTTCTGGTCAGGCAGTCCCGAATCCGACAACCATTTCTGCAAAGTGGATGCATTTTCGAGAGAATCAATGTCGCAGCCCCACGGAACATTCTCTGCTTTTGTCGGTTTGGTAGTTTCAGCTGCGGAAACTGATGAAGAACAGCGAATATTAATGGTGTTAGGAGTAGTACTGTTTCTTCTGTGGAAAGTGTAGGAGGAGTTGAAGTGGAGAGTGGTTCTGTGAGATGGAGAATTATGGGAGAAAGGAGGAAGGAAACCTGATTGGAGTATTCTAGAAGCTTCCGCCATGGCTAGAGAAGAGAGGTGAAAGTAGAGGAAGAGTGTGAGTGAGTGGAGAAAAAGAAGGGGGGAATGAAACTCTTGCCTTATCTGTTGAAGGTGAGGCGTAAAGATAGCTTTAAGATTGGTCGTTTTGACAGTTAAATTTTATCTGAATTTTTTTTTTTTCGATAATAAAACTTAAGGATTTAATTATTAAGTTATATTAATAATATAAAAATTTTGTTCCGTTACATCAAGCTAATTAGCATTTTTATTAAAAGATTAATCTATAAGTACTTGCGTAATTGTAAATATTTTTCTAGAAAAACTTAACTTAAATAATTATTCATCTAAAAAATAGGCCAAAAATGTATAATAATATTTATAATATATATATACATATATAAGTGTTAATATCCTAAAATCCCCCTAAACTATCATGTTTTAGTTAGTTTTTTAGTTAAGTTATTCGGTGCCCCAAAAACCCCTTCGAACTATATTGAAAATTTTACCTCGTATAGCAAAGGTATACACTCTATTTATTATAAATGAAGATCATTTTAAAATATTATTTTCTATAGCTATTTTTTATATTTTATAGCAAAATAAGTATTTATGGTATATACTACCATTGAGGCATGAAATAAGGCATTAAATATGTTATTTATGTTTTTTCTCTCCCTTAGACCGCTGGACATACTTATTTTTAAGGTGATTGTCGTTACTGTATTCATGAATACATGGCGCGAATACATGTGAATACATGCACGTACAGCTGGACTGCCCTAGTTTTAGGCTTTTTTACTGTTGTATTCATGAATACAGCAACGCATTCGCGTATAGCTTCATGAACGCATTCGCATTCATGAATACATGTGAATACATGTGCGTACAGCTGGACTGCCCTGATTTTAGGCGTTTTTTGCTGTTGTATTCATGAATACAGCAATGTGAATACATGCGCGTACAGCTGGACTGCCCTGATTTTAGGCGCTTTTTACTGCTGTATTCTGAATACAGCAGCGCAATACATGTGAATACATGCACGTACAACTTGACTGTCCTGTTTTTATGTACTTTTTGCTCCTGTATTTATGAATACATGGCGCGAATACATGTGAATACATGCGCGTACAATTGGACTGTCCTGATTTTTAGGCACTTTTTGCTGTTATATTCATGAATACAACAATGCGAATATAGCGAATACACTACCGTAACAACTGAATACTAGATATAGGAAGTAATTATGTATATGGTAGTTATAAGAAGTTAATAGCCACTAAACAATAGTGGTTTCTGAAAATTCCTCGACTATATTCCTCTTCATATTAAAATCCCCCTTATTGCATTTTTGGAGGTATGTCTAGTGCACACTCCTAATTATCTAAAGAATGTGCCTTGTGGGGCTACACGTGGCTATTTAACCCAAGCCTAAAACCCTCTTAGACTGATATTTTTTTATCAGTTACCTACTTAAACTATCTGGTGTCCCCAAGACCTTCCTGAACTATATTCCCCTATATATTAAAACCACATGTTGAATTCTTAGAGGTGCACCTATCTAACTATATTAACTTATGGTTTGTACTAACTTTTTTATGTAGTTTACTCAAAATGTATTTCTCTTGGATGACTGCTAAATTCTAGAAGTTTTGACCAAAATAGTATCTTATATAATGTGTTAATTTTAGATTTAATTGTGACTGTATTTTATGCTAGACTCCAATTGAATAAGTCCGTATTTATCTATATTATGCAACATAATTAAAAAACAAACAAATGAAGGCATATAATGCTACATTTATGAAAAATCATCTTATATTACTTAAATAACAGTACACAAAATAAAATTTTGCAAATAATAAACCAATCAGTCAGTACTGTCACGACCCAAACCGATAATGCGTGACGAGTGCTCGAGTTTTACCTATCGAACACCCCTAAGCATACGTCTAAGATATAAACATGAAATAAGTGTAGGTCATGCATAACGCCTGGCAATAAAATACTGATTCATGTTAATAACATACACGGAAAAACATGCCCAAAAGACATATATACGGAATACGACAGGGCAAGCTGACAAGGACATATACTATCTAACTACGTATGACTGTCTACAGACCTCTAATAGAGTGTACACTGTATAAATGACGGGGCTGGGCCCTGTCATACTCATATGTATACAAAAGTATCGTACCAAAACTCAATAGCAGCTCCGGATCAAATGGAGCATAATAACTCTCACTGAGCAAGAATCCTAAGAAGGGGGACCGTCAGCCTGTCTACCTGCACCTGTGGGCATAAAACACAGGCCCCAGGCAATAAGAGCGTCAGTACGAATAATGTACCGAGTATGTAAGGCATAAAAATCAGTATATAAAAGACATAAAAGAAACATGGAGTAATGGACTCAACCTGTAAGTCTGAATAGCTTTGTGAATCATGAAATATTTATAATGTCATGCATATGCGTATAAATTTCATGTCATGCATAGGTATATGCGTAGATAACATCATCAAGCCTCTGAGGGCATCCCATCATATCATCTCAGCCTCTGTGGGTGAAATCATAAACGTATACCAGCTGATCAGGTGGTGGTGCGTATATAACGCCATAATCTTTTCTCATACCCCATATACATATACTATACACATATATAACGCCATCTAGTCATGGTCAATATATATATAAATGGATGCAATGCATAATGAAGTAAGTCAATAAGGTCTCTCGGAACTTCATGAGACCCATGAACAGACGATATGATAGTAGGACATATGGGGAATCCAGAGCATAGGCAACTCTAGTACTTCTAAGAATAGAATTATTTGGATCATGCCAAAAGGAAAGGAGGGATAGCTTTAGCATACCTCAAATCGTCAATGCAACTCCACAACAAGATTATGATAACTAGCGCGCCAACCTTATAACAAAGAAATACATGTACGACTTAGATGGCGCTAGTGTATTACGTATCTCAAACGATAACTCGATTCTAAAATAAAACAGGCAGCATTTCCCCTGATTTTACTTCTCCCTTAAGCCTACTATAGGTGAGATACAAACACAATACAATAAGTAACTCAAAACCAACCTAATTGCAATTCGGAGCCTTCAATACAGCAAAAACCTCAAATATGTCGTAACACACCCAATCAACAACTTATCAATTAGCCTAAAAATGCAACGACGAGCGAACAACCTACTACCCTACCACATGTGGCATTTCTCCACACATTTTTATCCTTCCAAACTCCATAAATCAACAGCAAAATAGGCCGGCACAAATGGACTACAAAACAGTCCACTAAAAATGGAAAAAAAAAATCGAACTCACGGCTTCCAATCACCGTCCCGTGAGTTCTAACTATTAGGAAACCAACTTATCAACCTTCCTTGATATTTAAAAACTTAATTACAGAAGTTACACGTTTCTTAACTATGAATTATCTTGCAAAAATTGAACTATAAAGAAAAGAGAGAGACGGTATAATAATACTTGCGTCGTAGGGATCGTTCTAATGTTATCGCTTCTCGATTTTCTTACCCTGGATGTTAGTATTCTTTGAAAGCTTTTGGAGAGCTTAAGTATATGGTTTTATGGTGTTCTATGGTCGGGATATATATAAAAGTGAAGAGAGAGACTAGCTAAAACCTATATATAAACTTTTGAAAAGTCAAAGAGGTGCTAGCTTGGCACCCTCGCATTGGCCCATCTTCCGACACTTATATCTTTTTATTCGAATGTCGTGTGAACGAACGGTTAAGTGCATTGGAAACTAAATTTCAAGACCTTCAGTTTGGTATATAATATATCCCAAAAAGACCTCATATAGCACACGAAATTTATTTCTGAAAAAGCTCTGTACAAGGCAAATCCTTAGTCGGTTTTTCCGTAACATAAATCTGATTTTTTTCAAACTTTATATTTTCTATGCAAACATCATATATAGTCACATTATGACTTTAAACTCATTTAAATCATTATTAACAAGTTTCATATTCATTATACGTCGACGCAAAGGGTGTAACAATTTTCCCCCCTTAGAAACATACGTCCTCGAATGTTAAACCCCTAGGGATCTATAGAAATTTTGGCAAAGTCTCCTCTGTAATGGTACCGATACCAACCTGTCATACAGAAAACCCAACAATATAAATCCACACAGGCCACAATCATCAATAACACTAATGGCCTCACATGACCAATGACAATAACTAACATAAGAATCAAGTACCATATACGTACCTAAGGTTGTGATATCTTAGTCTGATCCTCCTCCGGAAGAGGAAACAAGTGAGGATACCTAGACTTCATGTATTCCTCAGCTTCCCAAGTCATCTCCTCCATATTATTGTTCCTCCAAAGTTCTTTAACCGAAGATACATCTTTAGTTCTCAATCTCTGAACCTGTCTATCTAGTATAGCAATGGGAGCTTCCTCATATGATAGCTGCTCTGTGACCTGAACATCGTCAATTGGAACGACTCTAGAAGGATCTCCGATACACTTACGGAGCATAGACATATGAAAAACTGGATGTACTGACTCCAAGTTGGAAGGCAAGTCTAACTCATATGCTACCTGGCCTACTCTGCGTATGATCTTATACAGTCCAATGTACTGAGGGCTATGCTTTCCTTTTTTACCGAATCTCATAACGCCTTTCATCGGTGATACCTTTAGGAATACCCAGTCATCTACCTGAAACTCCAAGTCTTGTCGTCGATTATCTGCATAGGACTTCTAATGACTTTGAGCTGCTAATAGCCTTTCCCGTATAAGCTTAATCTTCTCAACTGCCTGTTGTACCAAATTTGGTCCTACTAACTTAGTTTCCCCAACCTCGAACCATCTGATAGGTGACCCACACCTCTGTAAAGAGCTTCATATAGAGCCATCTGAATGTTGGAATGATAGTTATTATTATATGTGAACTCAATAAGTAGAAGACGATCATCCCAGTTACCCCTGAAGTCTATCACATAAGCCCGTAGCATATCCTTCAGTGTCTGAATAGTACGTTCAGCCTGACCGTCTATCTGGGTATGAAATGGTGTACTAAGACTTACTTGAGTCCTTAATCCTTTTTGGAAGGACCTCCAGAA